AACGACTGAGACTCTCCCATTGTAGTAAAGCACTGCACATAAGGTTACCGTGGTTGCCAAGGTCAGCTCCGCTCGCTATACGGCCACAATACGCCGTCCGATTTCTGCTAGCTGTTCGCTATCGCTGTTGGCTACACACGGATGAAGTCGTCAGTCTGGTCGCAGCATCCATGAACCAATCTTTTATCCAGCCGATGACGACATTCCTATATCGCTCTTATGTAGTTTTATAGTGTTTCATATCTAATGGCCGAAGCCTCGTCCTCTACAACACCGAAAGGCCTCTCGGCATCTGAATTCGATCGTACCTCGCCTCCTCCTACCAGAATGGACGACACCATCGACATTTTCCTACGGCCCGAATACCGCCGCTTGACCTTCATTAACAAGGACCAAGCCGAGTACAGTAACCTCACCTACTGGCAACGTATCAAGATGAACCCACAAGTCATCTTCGAATCATGTATCGGTCGAGCCGTGTCCTCCTACTTCATGGGAGGGGCTCTTGGCCTCCTCATGGGCGGTTTCTTCCATACAATGCAACCCATAGACGTCGATGCGAGTCTCCCATTCCGTCAACAGGTCCGCCAGGCATACAAAGGCTTCGGACAAGCGTCCGTTTCGATGGCCAAAGGATTCGCAGTGGTACTACTCACCGGGTGCGTCGCTTCGCGAACACAATTGAGCATTCTCATTTCAGTGCGGTGCCGTGTACTCTGGTGTCGACTGCTTCGTCGAGCGTGCCAGAGGTTCTCATGATCTCAACAACTCTATTTATGCTGGTTGTCTTACTGGTGCCGCTCTAGCTTACAAAGGAGGCCCTCAGGCTATGGCAATGGGCTGTGCTGGTTTTGCCGCTTTTTCTATCGTTATCGACTCTTTCATGTCCACTGGCGATAAAGATGTCCATAAATGGTGACTGTATAGTTGAAACACCGCTACTGTTTCTGTGCAATATTATCACACCACTGGCTGAGTTCCTGGTTCTTATCATTTGCGTTACTCAAATTAACCTCCAACACAACCACTACTTTAACCACGACAAAAGGGTGAATGAGCTCATGGGAATACATGCCAGACTAGTATACAATTATACTACCACTGGTCGTCTGGGCGGCTACGTTCGTTCCCATCAGTCCACCAGTACCTGATCAAACGATATATCATCGGCATTGCCCTCTACTATTCTACGGCTCAGTAAGCAACTGAGTGTTAGTAGAATCCACAGCAGAGCTTCGCCGCACTCTCTCAGCTGTTGGCAGTATCGTCTAAGGTCAACAAGGGGCCCTCCTAACATGCCGCAGATTCACAGCTTACACGACTGCTGGACGACTGACTACCCCGTGAGGATGGAGATTTCCGACCCTGAGGAGCAAATCCAACACGGTGATGATGATGAAGACAGACAAACCTTAACGGCTCTGGTCTGTTGATAGTCTCGAGCAATAGCCATGGCCTGGTCCAGGCACCCGCATATCTCCGCCATACGCAACAGTTGAGGCACTGTAGCGCTCTTCAGTCTAGCAATACTATTGCAAACCTCGAAAAAAAGCAATGGAACGATGAGGCTGATAATAGAGAGAACCTACTGGTCGTAGTGCGGGGTTACTACGAAGGCTCTGGGAGAGTATCGTTTTTAATCGACCCCTGCCAGCCTCCCCAAGTCGAATCTTCGGCAAGGCGCCCTATACGATAAGATCGGTGTGGAAAATATGCATATGGGCAACTTCACGTAACAATTGCGGGAATTTCGGCGGCATTCCTAGACTAAGTCGTGGGTAAATTTCCAAAATGGTGCGATGTAAACAGAATGTCAGAATGATACGATAGGAAAGCCAATAAACGCCTCGTCATGATCTACCTTTACTCAGCCGTATTCAAGTGGTCCAGAGGGAGCCCAGTGAACGGAAGCTCTCGCGGAGGAGATTCTCGGCAACCCTACGTCAACGGATCGAACAGCACAAGGGGGCAAGTTCCTTACTGCGTCTGGGTTAGTCGAAGCCGCTGCAGCAGATGGCGTTTGATAGTGCATCTGCGGAGACTCCGTCAAGCCTCCCCAGGAGGTGGACTTGGGTAGAGCAAATGAGTTCTCTCGATGAACTGAACGATTCATAACATACCACCAAAAGTATCATTTCCGTATATTACTTGGGAAACCAAAGATACGAGACGAATGATCAAGATCGAAGCGATTAGCTGCATTTCGGCTTTGCACTGAAATGGGAAACTCTTCTACGCAGCGGTGGAATTAGTACCAGTCAATGCGGTTTGAAGAGCAGCATTCAACTGGGCATCATTAGACGTGGAAGAGGTACTCCCTAAGGGCCCTTCTTCGAATACGCGGTTACGAGAGGAGTTCAACGATAATGGTATCTGATGACATTACTATTCACACGCCACAGTAGTGCTAGCCATCACCTGTCGCGGTAGTTCCATTCGAGTTTGGGGAGGTAAGACTAAGCGTAAGTCCTCAGGGTTAGGATCGAGCCGATCGGCGGTCGAGATGGCATGATGAGCGTTCCTTGGGTCACTCAGGGAGGCCGAACTGCACGCTGTTTCGTCTGCCGATATTGTTCGTTGACGCTTAGTACCTGGAAAAGGCCTGCGATGATTCAGGAGGCATATACCACTGACATCACTCCTACTATCACCACCACAACTACTTTCGCTACCACTGCTGGTCCATAGGAGAAAGAGTTCAACGAATGATGGTTTGAATAACAAGTTTATAAATGGTTTAGCAAATAAAAAATCTAAGCTGTCATCAACGGCTAACTTTTATGAACGACTCCGGACTATGAGTAGGACCACTACTTCGATTCCAACTAATATCAATACTAATGCTATCACCCCGAAAATGAATGTCACTACTACGGCTATTACTCTGCTCCACAGTCGATGTTAGAGGGTGTTTCGTAGAAGGCGATGATGACGATGTGCCTGAACACTCGTTAAGCAACAAACAATTTTTATGTTAATGAGATCCTGCAACCGAGGATCGATCTCACAACCATCGGGTAGCTAAGAATGGGACGGACCCGTCACCTACTCGGGTGAAATTCCGTGTTATCAGTAGATTGGAGTGTAGCGAGGGCAGCTAGAATGGCTTTGGACCTGAGAAGTGAGTCATGAAAAACAGTATTTTCCGGTCACACGCTCACCGTGGAGAGCTCCAATCGTCATAGTTCGGTGCGAAAGCATTAGGGACACGAGACATCACTGAACAGTAGTAGAATCATCATTCACGTCACCCGTCAATGAGGCTTTGCGCGGACAATCGCGCTCGCCATTGTAATCGATAAATGAGGACACTGCGTTCATATGATGACTCCGAATATCGCAGCTGAATCGATAGACTTCAATGTTTATAGTAGTAGCGGATAGGGATTAAACTGTAGCGAAAACAGTAGTGATGGGCGGGAGGCGTTTCCATCATTGGATTGCGTTTAATCAACTGCTGTGAGTCGCCTGAGTGTGTTCGAGAGATGAACATTCGGGCGAGAATTCATCATGTGTCTGGCTGGGACCTTCTGAAAAGGCAATGGGGTTTTGTTGCATATACCAGTACTCGTTCTCGATCACGTGAATATAGAGGAGGAGCCTGGGACACTGGCAGTAGGGGTAGCTGGATGCCTTCAACTCCGTGGAGGGAGAGTGATGGTGACGATTATATGTTGTGACAGTATTGTTCGGTTATTATCGGGGCATCGCCTCTCCTTTTTTATTAAACTGAATGAGTGGCGGCGGCCCCCAGCCGCCTTTCACAAGGCAATTTCCGGCATCTCCATCATCATCAACCTCTAGAGGTGTGGTCGAAGGCAGTGGCCAGCAACAACAACAACAGACGCCCCAGCAGGAACAGCAAGTTCGGTCATCATCCCAGCCCGGAGGGTGCTACTACCCACCCCCGCCCCCACAGGGCTTCACTGGTACTTCCGAGATGGGTGGTGGTAGTGGATACCCAGCCGCACCAGGCGGGGTATATGCAATGCCTGCCCCTGCTGCTGGTGGTGGCGGCCCCTTCATGATACCTGCATATCCTATGGGAGCCTATGGACCAGGCAAGAATATGGCATCACCCATCATGGGCAATGTGTTGCCTGCTATGGGTGGACACCAACAACAACACCCCCACCAGCAGGGAGGAGGAGGAGGAGGTCTCGGGTTCAATTCCCGGGGAGGAATGCAGCAACTCAGTAGTACTCGAGAAGGGGGGCTGGGCCATAGAACACAGATTGGATCTCAGGACCACACAACAGACGTGGAGGGATGCCAGGCAGCTCCAAGCAGTTGGTTCACTTTGACGAGTCCTTAGCGGCAACCCAGACCGTCGACCGTGCTATTGTGAGTGCCCTGAAGCAACCGCAACACAGACTATTGCTGCTGGAGATAGAGCCTGCTATACACAAGATGGTAGGAGGCAGGGGGAGAGGCGGAGGTATGGACGATAGTGGTCTCCGATTGTGGTAGATCACCGAGACCGACTCAGAAAGGCTGAAGCTCACGAATCCACTTGGAAAGTATCAGAGAATGCTGATACATAAGCTCGGGGACTACTTTAGGTGAGTCCTGCCTTTGCTGACGATGTAAGCGACTTCCGAGTGTTAGAATGGATCGAGAAGTTGACTACGCCAAAGGCTCTGATATGTGTACCGTAACTCTGGTACGAACTGAGCGGACGTGCGTGCCTAATACCATACTCCAAGAACTTTGTCGGAGTGCATTAGAAGCAGCCGAGATGGCTGATGGCGGCCAGCCCTGGCCATACGTGCCTAGGCAACAGCAGCAGCAGCAGTCTCACAGTCGTCAACAAGAAGAGTCTGACAGCAATGTGGCGCGGCGAAGTGTAGAGCGAGCTCATTCCGATGAAGGGGTGCTTGAGGTGAGTCGGTTACGGCTAGGACTCTTTCTTAGGGATTGGCTCTCCCTTAGGGAGATGTGGACGAGCATTGCAGTGATGTGAGAGGCACCTGTAGTGAAGGTGGCGCTTCAGCTGAAGGGACTCCATCAGAGGCAGGAGGGGATCCGGCAGCAGCCACTGCGGGGGTGAAACGTCGTGGGGTGAAGATCCTCAGGAGGGGCCCTGGGTCCAAGGGCAAGAATACGAGGGCCTCGAGGCCTGATGAGTCATCGAGTGATGAAGGCGGAAAGTATTCAGAGGCTAATCTCCTACATAACCTTCCGGTGAGGTTCTATATCGTCTCCTCATGCACTTGATTCACATCTACATAGGTTGACCTACGGGAAGAGCATTACAACAAGATTCGGGCTAAGATTTTTCAAGAGGACGATGGTACACCGTTGGTATATTCGAATGAAGACCTGGCCGCTATGGAGAGCGCTCGGAAGCACATCCCCAAGGGCACCGATCTGGACGATCCAGAGTAAGCCTTTGAAACGGCTAAGTCCACAATCTTATCCTCATACTCTCTGTCAGTTACAACCGCCAAGCAGTTTCTATAATACCACAATTAGGCCGCGTGCAACAAGCGCCTCCTACGCTACTCAGCGACCCTGCAGCATATAATGCCGCCTTTCCGGTACTAGGCGGGAGACCAACTTTTGAGGATGAGACTCGGAATAAGGATACCCGACGTAGAGGAGGGAACAAGAGGCAACAACAACAACAGCAGTTCAAGCAGCAACAGTACAGTAGCAACGCGGGCGGCGCGCCGTACTCTCATCACGTTGTCCCGATGTCTCCTATGATGCCATTGCCTCCGGGGGGCGCCCCTGGTACCACAGCTGATGCTGCGACAATTGCTGCCTTCCAGCAGGGATACATAGCTGCGACTATGGCCGCTGCCGCAGCTGCCCAACAACAAGGTGTAGCTTGGACTCCGCCTCCTCCTCCGCCCCCTTCTATCAACTTCTCCTCGTCATCGCAACAACAACAACAACCAAAGGACAGTCTGCTTCCCATCCCTAGCGGCGGTAGTCCGGCACAGTTCGCTGGATACTATCATCAGCCTCATGGGATGTCATTCCCGGCTGAAGGACCTACTGGGGTTCAACAGCAGCAACAGCAGCAGCAGCAGTGGGGAGCCGCCCTACCCTCACCACAGAAGGGTGGTAGAGGAGGAGGAGGCCGTCACGGAAACGCTCAGGGTGTGGGGAGAGGCAATAGGGGAGGATCGGTCCAGAGTCATCATCAGCAAGGTGGTAGTAGGAAGTCGAGTGACATGGTGGTAGGCTCGTCATTCCCTCAAGCTGGATGGGCTGATCCACAGCTACCATCACCACAGGGGACGCCGAGGCTACAACAACATCAACAGCAACCACAGCTTGATCTCCTTCGACAACAAGGGAGGCTCCTACAGCAGCAGCAGGCTCAAAGAATAAGTCAAACTGGACTGGATACAATATCGAGAGGCGAACCCGGTAGCATGAAGAGCAGTGTGGCCGCTCAAGGTGGTTCGGATATCCAGAGTGCTTCCCTAGCTGAGGGATCTACTGCTACACCCACTGTCGGGGGATCGACACTTTAGTGTTACACGTGACATATGAGTCGCCAGTGCTGGCTGGCTGGCACGGATGATACTACTCTCGTATGGGGCAGCGCCTTTGTGTTGCTTCAGCTCATCAAGACTGCTTTTGTTGTCTGCACACTCTCGGTCGTGTATTCTTTTTGTCCTCTCATCGCCCTCTTGTCCATTCTTGTGCAACTATCACCTGCTTCTCGTCTTCCTCACTACTGCTGCTGTAGATAGGACTAGGGGTTATGATGATGATCATAGTATTGCAACATCTACTACTTACCATTATCAACAACATCGTTAATCAACATTGTCCTGTGGTGTTTTGTCAACCGGGTTGTTGGGCGGCATTCTCCCTCCGTGCCATCGAATTAAACAACAACAATCAACAACGACATTCTACATTTAACAATCGACTAAATTAGGCAAGATTAATGTCAACACATGCTTCTCGCATGTTTCATCTATGTTATCGCCATTGGAGTTGCTATGGGGATATTGACCATAGATTGAGGCTGCGATACTTCCTATGACCATGGAGAAACTCCTGTGGGGAGGGGTTAGCAGCAAGCCACCCTTGAAGAAATCAAGAGAGGCCCCATCCTGCCCTCCACCGCTTACGAGTTCGGAGGAGGGGATAACGCCCTCAGACGACCACGTCTTCCGAGTCGGACATATTCAGACCATCAAGGAGGTGCAATAGTAATCCCCTGTAGACTCCATGATAATGTTCAGGCGTGCCACAGATTACTTGCACTTAAACTGGATAAGGTCAGCCAATGTAATCGTACCGGACCCGACAAAGTCAAATGTATTTCGAAAGCTCTCATGTAGGGACTCGAGGACGTGTGCCCTGCTGTTGATACGGATAGTGTTCGGTTCAAGTTGATACTGTCCACTGGTATAACACGACAATGTGACGGGTACCAATCACAGCATGCAAGTAGATGTGCAGAGACTTACGGGGGAATTATACGCTACACGGCAAAGTCAACGATTATAGTATAATGTGCTCAGGGAGAATCTGATGATTGACCGCCATGGTAACTCTTAATTGTCTTCAACAGGCGATTCCCATGACCAGAGAGTTGCCGTTTGGGCGTAATAGTGTCACCGTCTATTACCAGAGCTATACGGCTGCACAGCTCAGGTATACCTTGAAAAAGCACGACTGAAAATGTGAATTCATAGTCGACCTACAATCAGGCTTGCGCATGACACAAGTAGATAGCAATAGGCTTCCGTTACGGTTGTTCGCTACTCCGAGAAGGTTCTCAACTAACAAGAACGATTACACCACTTTCCAGATGAGCAGAACCCACTGGTGTAGATAACTGCGTCAACGAACTGATCCACGTGGACTCCAGTAGGGAGTACATCCGCAACAGCTTCCAACAGCGTGAAGCAGGAGGGCTCATTCAACAGATCCGACAACTTATCTTGGAGCACTTCGGCAATTTCGATGATGCCATCAGGACTATAACACTCCAGTCTAACAATCACTGTTCACCAAGCTTACGGGTTTTGTCTGTTCGCCTTCAATCGACACCCCATTTCAAGGAGGACCTTCGATCCTGCAACGTCTCGAGCGATCGTTACCAAGTCCCGGGGCAGTGACCAGCTCCTTCAAGAGGATGCAGACATCAGAACTGAGGAGCTGTTGATATAATGCCACGGGGGAGATGATACCGCTACGGATCGATGTAGTGGCAGAGCTCTTGTATGAAATAGTTCCCATAACGGTCAGTAGCCAGCATGCGAATAGAAGGCCGACACTCCTCCACAAAGGAACGGATCTCTTCAGGGGAGGCAACACCAGATGAAAGATGCCCCTGAGGCTACGCTAATGCAACCACACCAAGACGTTAGGTCTCACCTGTAGGAGTCGAGAGCCAGCGCCCCCCACGGCCAGGGAAACCACCCGACCAGCCAGTGATGTTCCCGATTGTCTTCTTCCCTTGGTCGGACCCGCACTGCCGCTACGCTCCGTCCGTCCTCCTCCCCTCTCCTTGCGCTGGTTACGCTTCACCGAGGTCCTGGTAGTGGGCGCCGGCTGCTGCTGCTTCTGGTACGGCTCAGTAGGGTTTGTCGGGTTGATATTATAGTTCCGAACTGATAGCAGTACTACTGGGGACATTTGAGGGTACCACTCCGGTACAGATCTCATTGGTGGCATGTAGTTGGCCCAAAACCCATGCTTGTTGCTGTAGTAGAGCCAGCTGTTGGACTATGTCATACTCGTTGCCAGCCAGGAGTGGCGAAATGCCGTTGAACGGCAGCGACTGGCAGACAGATACGAGTATCCTAGAGGATAGAGGCTTACATTAGGAAGATATCCAGCAGTGTATCTAGGTGGGGGAGCCGACATGGTCATCCCATCACGCTCCTGTAGTCCGCGACCAGTCTGGGCGGCCTCGGCTAGAGCTCTCTCAAGAGGTCCGGCAGCTTCTGAGACACTGGGTGATCGCATGACGCTACATGGCACTGACCTCGAGGATTGGGAATAGGGCCAGATGGGCATTCCTCCAAAGAACTCCCCGAGGAGTCCTCCCAACTGGAGACGGAGCTCTCCGACAAGGACCGCTGTCGCCCAGCCTTGCGCTGCTGTGAGCCGCCGGGGGGCGGGGCAGTGGGAAAGACCTGGGCCGCGTCCAACATGCTGCATCTGCAGGTGATTAAATTTCGAAATGATGGGATTTTCCATGCAAATATCGCACGTGTTGGCCATAGGCCTGAAAGTCATAGTGATGTTGTCAGAGTCTCCTCCACTGTCCCCCATTGGCGTCGGGAAAAGTGGGGATGCTCTCTCGCCATACGGTAGGAGTCCTGGCGGTTCACGCTGCAACTCACCATTCTGTTCAGCGACCTGCCACTGAACATCCACTAGGGTCACCGATAAGGGCTTACAGCCGAAGCAGCAGCAGCATCAGCAGTACTAGGAATTGATAGACATCCAATAGGATACGTCGGGAGGTCCAAGAATGGATCCGGAGTAGCGGCAAATGGGGAAGAGGACCTTGCGGACGATTTGCCCTTCACCACAGCCACTCGACCATCAGGCTTACCGCCAAGTGACGTGGGAGAAGTCCCTGGGGAGGAGCCCATCTTTAGCGTCCTCTCCACTGAGTGGTACAGCGTGGTCCTGTTTCACTTGAGTGTCAGCAACGGGAGAAGAAGAAGACGAGGACATCCCAAGCAGTAGTACTGATACTATGAATTGACTTATACTGAACACAGCATAACGCTGGACACCCCGACGTGGACGAGTATATGAAGTCTACATAGAAAAAAAACCAGGCAGATCTACCCGTACGCGCCCGA